GGAGGCGTTATGTGGAAAGTGACTATGAGGGATGATGTTGAGAGTTCTGCAGGTGAGCATTCTGGGGCAAGGAACCAAGAAGGTTAATCATGGAGATTGGTGCACAACAAGGCCAGGAGGTAAACTGAGCCAAGGCATGGAGAACCTTGAAAAACAGGTGAAGAGTCTGACCACTTCTTGTAGTCTTCAGGAGACAGGAGTGGGGAAGCTCAGAAGGCAACCAGAGGAGGCCCACACACACTTCTTGGGTCCCGAGGTTGCCACCCCTTCACCTCTGTGCTTTGTCTTGAATGTGGCCTGTGCCAAGGGGTGCATCCTCCACGTTTTCTGAGTTCCTCCTCACCTAGAGGGAGAAGATCTAGAAGCGACTGAAGCAACTCATGGTGCCCAGTTGTGCAGGGCCTGCTCAGATGCTAAGAGGTGCTTTGCAATGCTCTAAGGCTCTGTCTTACCAAAGATTGTGCCAGCCGTGGGTTGCCGCCCTATTCAAGGCATAGCCTGAACCCCAAGCCAAGAAATACATCAACTTTCTGGAACTCAGAGCCGTCATCACAGCTGTCTCAGTCTTCAGAGCGCATATGAAGCACCCTGGTTAGAAGAGATGGTTTTGCCCCGAGCTTTGCAGGCAGGGGAAGAATAGGCATGGCCCTGGTGGAATATCCAGACTGGCTTGGTTCAAGACTTAGCCCATTTTCAAGGGAAGCTTTTGTTGCTGATTGTCAAGCTCCCTATTAGCTCAGACCATTTTAGGGTCTGAACTTGCCCTAACTCAAACCCTGGGTCAGTTAGGCTTGTATGCAGCATGGATCAACCATCCCAAGTTTTTGTGGGCATCATTTGTGGGCATTGTGGAGGCTCAGTATTGCACCCATTCTGGTTAAGTGTTGTAAGGCCCACTGTTCTGTCATCTATGGGAACGTTTTTTCCAGGGCCTCGACCGTCATCCTAGGCATCTAAACTTACTCCATGTTTTCTGGGGCCTTAGGACAGAGTTTAGATTTCATTTCAAGAATCCTTCACTTCAGAAGCTGGGATGTGGCCCTTATCTTTCATCTCTTCATTGCTATCTCCCTAGACCTGGAGACCTGCCCCTTAATCTTCTCTTTCTGGCTTTACATATCATTGCTCCTTATCTCTCTTTGGCTGGGGCCTGGCCTTCCCCTCCCTCCTCCCCCTATGGGGGGAACTCTGCCCTCTCTAGTCCTTCTGTCTTCTTTGACTTTGCCCAAAGCCTGTGGAAATGCAAATCCAGAAATTCAGTAGCCTCCACTCACCTCCCCAAAGTCCCAACTTGTCTGTCACATTTCACCAACAGGAGTCATTCTAGCTGGGCTTGGTGGCTCAGCCTGTAATCCCTCACGAGGTGAGTGGATTGCCTGAGCCTGTGGGTTCGAGACCCGCCTGGGCAACTTGGTGAGACCTCATCTCTACAATAAATCAAAAAAAATTAGCTGGGTGTGGTAGCGCGCACCTGTAGTTCCAGCTACTGGGAAGGCTGAGGCGGAAGGATCACCGGAGCTTTGCTGGTCGAGGCTGCAGTGGCCGCCCAGCCACTGCACTCAAGTCTGGGTGCCAGAGTGAGATTCCAATTCAAAAAAAAAAGGAGTCATTCTAAGGTATAACCAGTTTACCCACCCCCCGCCGCCCTCTTTTTTCTTTTTCCTTGCTGAGGCGGTGGTGATGGAGGTAAGGAGTGTCTTGAAGTTTTTTCCGAGTACTTACTCTCTTGTACTTTTCCACTCTCTAAATTCCGTGAATCCCTCAGGCCAAATAGAACCCCAAACAAACAGCATGGTAACTCTTGTTATTCAGCTTTATTGTAGGGCCTCAGTATTCACATCATTTACACTCAAGTTCAGGTCCAGAGGATGGACGTTTCAAGGTCAAGCCTCTCAGGTTGGCCCTCTTGCTCTAAAATGATCTTTCTTCCTTGATATCTGCGTATTTCAAGGAAGCTACTTACTTGGACTTTTTGTTCAAGTTTTTTTAAAGGAGGGGAGGGAATGGGTTCAAATTTTATTGAAAGTTTTAGTTATGTTCGGGAAATTGTTAATTCCAGAGACTTGTGTCTGACACTGAAGCGTGTTTTGATTAATACTGTGTAAAACTATAGGTCAGATACCTTGGCAGTTTTTTTTGAGTTGGGAATCTCACTCTGTTGCCCAGGCTGGAATGCAGTGGCACGAGCACAGCTTACCACAGCCTCAACCTTCTGGGCTCAGGCAGTCCTTCCGTCTCAGCCTCTGGAGTAATAGACTCTTGGCATGTGTCACCACACCTGGCTCATTTTTTTATTTTTGTAGAGATGAGGTCTCGCTATATTGCCCAGGCTGGTCTCAAACTCCCGAGCGAACCTCTTGCTTCGGCCTCCCAAAGTGCTGGGATTACAGACATAAGCCACCGTGCCCAGCCAGCAGTTTCTAGAGGAAAAATAAATGAGACTACTTCTCTCCAGACTTTCTTCCTAATAATATTTGCCATTAATTTAAAAATTAATAATAACTTTGCTTTTATTTTATTTTATTTTTTTGAGTCAGAGTCTCACTCAGTCACCCAGACTGAATTACAGTGGCACACTCACGGCCACCGCAACTTGGACCTACTGGACTCAGGTGATCTTCCACCTCAGCCTTCCAAGTACCTGGAACTACAGGCGTGTGTGTGCCACCACACCCAGCTAATTGTTTTTTATTTATTATAGAGATAAGGTCTCACCAAGTTGCCTAGGCTGGTCTCAAACCCTTGGAGTTAGGCAGTTCTCTCACCTGAGCCTCCCAAAGTGCTGGGATTATAGGTGTGAGCCACCACGCCCAGCCTTGCTTTTGTTTTAAAATGATGTTTCTTTAAGTTTAGCTGGGGATAATCAGAAAGGATGTTTTGTACATTTCTGAAAACTCCCAGGAATTTTAGTAAAATTGACTTGATTCATATTCTAAGGGAGGGTGGGTCATTTATCAGGTAAAACAAGGATTCTTATCCTATTCTCTGAGTGAGTTTCTAGGGTTCCTGACCCTTCTGATACTGAACAACTGATACTGAACAAAAATGAAATGTTGAATATAGAATATGTGCATTTTTCTATGGGGTGGGGGTCTATGATGTTAATTAGATTCTCAAGGGTCCTGCTGCAAGAAACCTTATGAACTACTGAGGTAGTGATAAGAGTACCTCTAGGCTTCAGGGTCTCTGTATCCTATTCAGGGAATGTCCCTGAGAGTTACTCTTTGTTTCCAGATACTTTGTTTAGAACCCAAAGACTTTTTCAAAAGAGAAAGGCACAAAGAAAAAGAAAATGGAAACAGAAATGTAAAGAGGGACAGTTGTCCTGGGAGAATCACTGAGGAATCAATGAGTAGCTGCTTCCGTAGATGGGGTTGGTGGGCTTTCCTTTTTGGGGGAGGGGTAGGAATTTCACTCTGTCACCCAGGCTGGAGTACGGTGGCATGCTCCTGGCCAACGCAGCCACGACCTGCTGGGCTCAGGCGATCCTTCCACCTCAGCCTTCCAAGTAGCTGGAACTACAGGTACACTTCACCATGCCTGTCTAATTTTTTGATTTATTGTAGAGATGGGGGTCTCAACAAGTTGCCCAGGCTGATCTTGAACCCCTGGGCTCTGGCAGTCCTCTCACCTCGCCCCCGCAAAGTGCTGGGATTATAGATGTGAGCCACCATGCCTGGCCTGGTTGGTGGGCTTTCTTGCCCCCAACGGACCAGCCTACAGTGGGGCTTTGCCTGCCAAAGATGTCCAGTATCTATTTGTGGACAAAGTGAGTAGGATTCAAGATGTTAGTGTGTGACACGATTGGGTGGCTTGTCTCCAGACACTCTAAAAAGGAGATAAGAGCAAGAAAATACGCCTTACAGTTGTTTCTCGACAGGTGTTGTCCTTGTATGGTTTACTTTACGTCTTGAATCTTCTCCTGGTTTTGAAGTACTCTTCAGCTTCAGAGCCAGAGAGAATGTGACTGTGTGTTATAATTCAGAAGTACACACTGGAGAAATTCCAGCTGTCTCCAACTTTGTCCAGGGCCAGACCCAGCCTTCTCCCAATGCGGGGCTTTGAGACCCTTGAAATCACAGAGCAGACTTGCTCAAACTCCTGAAAGGCACACGTAATTCGAGCCTTTTTCTACGTCTTTCCTACAGAAAGGAAAGGTCCAATTTGATGTGGACCTTCACTTGGGAAAAGATATAGTAATCTCTCCCTCCCTCCCTTCCTTCCTCCCTTCCTTCCTTCCTTCCTTCCTTATTTATTTATTTTTATTATTTTGTCGGAGTCTCATTCTGCCACACAGACTGGAAACCTGCTGGGCTCAGGCGATCCTTGCACTCAGCCTCCTAGTATCTGGGACAACAGGTATGTGCCACCAAGCCCAGCTAGTTTTTTTGATTTATTGTAGAGACAGGGTTTGGTCAAGTTGCCTAGGTTGGTCTCGAACCCCTGGTCTCAAACAATTTTTTCACCTCGGCTTCCCAAAGTGCTGGGATTAGAGGCTTGAGCCACTGTGTCTGCTTATTTATTAGTTTATTTATGTATTTATTTTTGTCTCCTTATTTTAAGGCACTTAGTTGCATGTTTCTTAGTTTCTTCAAATCTCTCTTTCTTCCCCTCTGTTTCTCTTAGCACTGATGGCTGTATTCCTTTTCTCTTCCTGTAAAACTGGTGGTCCATTGTAATCTTCCATGGGCATGCCATTAGGATGCTGGAAGCGCCACCTGGAGCCCAGTGATCTAAGCCATTCTCCTGTAGTGTTGCCCTGGATATTGTGAGAATGTGCTTGGGGGAGTGGTGTCTTGTCTGTTCAGGACACACGTGACTCCAGGCGCTTTTGCTTGGATGCTGAAGGGACACCTCTGGAATAGCCAACAATTTGTTTGTGATTGCAGGCAGGAGACGGGAGATGTTCTGTCTTAATTTGTAACTTCAGTGATGTTGAGTAAAGGATCATTTCTGGTCTGAAAGCCCTTTTTAATATTGCCTTCTCTCATTTTTTGTAGGTTGCTCTGACTCTGCGCTTCAGGAGTGGTGGCTTTGAGGTGTGACCCTGCCTACGTCTGGGACCAGCCAGTGTCAGCTCCTCAGTAAGAAGAGCAGCTTGATAACACAAAGAAAACAGGTCAGTGAAACTTTATTGACTTTCTCTGAGCCACAGTAACATTGGATGTTGAGTCTTCTCGAGCCTGCCCCCCAACCTCCCCATATTCCCTTTGAATTGTCCTTCCTCTTGTCCAGGTCATCCTGAGGCTTTGGTGCTAAATTGTGTTGAAATTGTAACTGTGACTGCTAGTTCCTCTTGATCTGATGGACCTGAGATGTGGGCTGAGAAATCTGAGGATGCTGAGGGTTTGTCTCACAGGAAGGAATACTTTGGACACCTCATTCCTTTCTTTTCTCTCCCTCCCTTCCCCCAAATTCAGACTGTGGGTTAAAAACTGAAACATCAGACTTGTCCAATTGGTGGTATCGATCATATCTGTGACTTGGGAGCTTTGTCAGGGTTCCCAGTCCTCTCTGATTCCAGTTGGAGGGGATTGTATTAGAATAGAGCCACTGATTTTTATATTTTGTTATTGTTACTACTACTACTACTACTACTATTATTATTATTTTGCATCACGGGTGATGTCGGGGAAAAGAAATGGTGCAGAGGAGAGAAAGAAAATTCTAGGATTATAAATACCCAGAACGGAAAAAAAAAATGCTTTGTGAATGGGCCTTAAACTGTTCAAATTATCTTTTGTTCCCTGAGATTATCGGGTTTTTAGATGTGTTAGTTTGGGTTATTGTCCCAGTATAGTCTGGGGTGGGGGTATGGGGTAGGTGGAATCAACTAATATGAGCCAATTTGCTCTGGTTAAATTACCACGTAGGTGAGCCCTCATGCTCTGGTAGATTTTTTAAAAACATACAGCAGTGAGCTCCATTGTGCTTTGCACCAGTTTCTTCCCCTTCTGTCCTGCTCCATGGTCCTGAAGGGAGAATGCAAATAAAAGAACAAGCTGGAGTACAATCTTATTGGTTGCTTCTGAAACAGGTTCCCAGAGATGAGTCTAATGACTCTTCTTTTCAAATACCTAAGAGTTTTGTTCATTACACTTTCAGATCAGAGAGGAGAAGTCTCTGTTTAAAAAAATTGCTATCTGCTTACATTTAAAATAGGAAAAGTAACCGGGCTCGGTAGCTCAGCCTGTAATCCCGCACCTTTGGGAGGCTGAGGTGAGTGGATTGCCTGAACCCAGGGGTTTGAGACCCACCTGGGCAGCGAGACCTCATCGCTACAATAAATTAAAAAATCAGCCTGGTGTGGTAGCGCATGCCTGTAATTCCGGCTACTCGGAAGGCTGAGGCGGAAGGATCGCCGGAGCCCAGCAGGTCGAGGCTGCGGTGGCCGGGAGCAGCCACTGCACTCCAGTCTGGGTGACAGAGTGAGACTCCAACTCCAAAAAAAAAAAAAAAAAATAGGAAAAGTATGTAAATGTAGGTGCTCTTGGTGTCATCAGTGTGTAATATCACACTTTACACTTTATCCCCAAGGAGGAAATAAATTTGGTAAATGTCTTCCTGTCCAGACTAAATGTGAAACACATTTGCACAGCTTTCCTCCTTTCCAAGTGAGATAAGACCTTGCAATTTTCAGCCCTTACATTGGTTAACTATAGTGACTATTGCTAGTCATTCTACATCCTGTAGAACACATAGACAGTTTGCAAGAATGTATCTTTGATATCATACTGACTGAAAATAATTCTTATCAGCAATTTGGATCTGCTTAGTGAATATATTTTTGTTAATTTGCCTGTTGACTATTTCCCTTGTCTCTACTTTCTTTCCTTACTCAGTGATAGAATTAGAACCTTTTTTTCTAACATAGAATTTTAAATTTAAAGGTGTTTACTATAAGCTCTTACCAGATTTGAATAATCTCTACCGCTTTTGGATTTTTTTTGGTTGTTTGTTTTTGAGTTGGGCTCTCACTCTGTTGCCCAGGTTGAAGTGCCTGGTATGCTCACAGCCACTGCAGCCTCGACCTGCTAGTCTAAAGCAATCCTTTCACCTCAACCTGCCAAGTAGCTGGAACTACAGGTATGTGCCACCACACCCCGCTAATTTTTTGATTGTAAAAATGAGGTCTCACCAAGTTGCCCAGGCTCGTCTCAAACCCCTGGGCTCAAGCGGTCCTCTTGTCTGTGCCTCCTAAAGTGCTGAGATTATGGCTGTGAGCCACTGTGCCTAATCATATATGTATTTTATACACACACACACACACACACACACACACACACACACACACACACATACATCAGGGCTGCCAAAATAATGTATACACATTTTAAGAGATGTTATCTACGTATTATGTTTTGAAGTACTTTCACAAGTGTCTGGATGTTGATGGTAACCACTTTGAGCACCTCTCATAATTGCGTAAGTCAATTATAACTTGTATTTATCTTTTGTTATTCATATATACTTTTCCTTAAAACGTATATACATGTCCAGACACAGTGTGCACGTCCATAATCCCAGTACTTTGGGAGGCTGAGATGAGAGGATTGCCTGAGTCCACAGGTTCAAGATCAGCCTGGGCAACTTGGCAATACCTCGTCTCTACGATAAAAATAAAAAAGATTAGCTGGGCATGGTGGTGTGTGCCTGTAGTTCCAGCTACTTAGAAGGCTGAGGTGGAAGGATCACCTGAGCCCAGCAGGTCGAGGCTGCGTTGGCCATGAGCGTGCCACCATACTCTAGCCTGGGCAACAGAGTGAGACTCCAACTCAAAAAAATAAATTAATTAAATAAATGTATATACATTTTTTGACATCCTCTGTATACACACACACACGTGCACGCACGCACCACATATATGTGTGTGTGTGTCTTATGTTTTCTAATTTGAGATGGGGTCTTATGTTGCCCAGGCTGGACTTGAACCCCTAGACTCAGTCAATCAGTTTTCCCTACAGAAAAATCACCCAAACCAACTTTCAAAGACAGTTAAAAACAGGAAGTTTGAAGCAAAATTCTTAATAAATTTAAATGGTCTCCTAGCATATGGAAAGACAAGAGTTTTGGTTTTCTTCTTTAACTTTGGCCATAGCTGTCCTCTCCTTATGGAAAAGTTGTAGGGATGAGCCTAGGTCTGTAGTCTTAAATTGTATGTTCCTGCAGTTAGTGCTTTTCCCTGCTGATTCGTTAGAAAACCATTTGGCTGACGTATTCAAAATGGCTGTTGACCAGGCACAGTGGCTCAAGCCTGTAATCCCAGCACTTTGGGAGACTGAGGCGAGAGGATTGCCTGAGCCCACTGGTTCAAGACCAGCCAGGGCAACTTGGTGAGACCTTGTCTCTACAGTAAATCAAAAAATTAACTGAGCATGGTGGCAAGCACCTGTAGTTCCAGCTACTTGGAAGGCTGAGAAGGAAGGATCACCTGAGTCCAGCAGGTTGAGGCTGTGGTGGCTGTGAGCATGGCACTGCATTTCAGCCTGGGTGACAGAGTGAGATTCCAACTCAAAAAAAATAAAAATAAAAAAAAGTCTGTTAACATGAAAGGCTCCTTTTGTCTCTTGACACAGAAAGTACTGTTCCTAAGATTCTCTTTGGGTAGAATTTCAGGCTGGTACTTCTCTGCTGCTGGAGGCATCACTTAATGAAGTTTTCTCCCCAGGCTTTCCTGCTGCACGCGCATGTGTAACTGCTCTAGGTGGCACTGTTTGTTATATCCCAGGTCACATCCTTGAAAGTTGGAGGAGGTAAAACCATGAAAAATCATGTTATTTCTTGTATTGTTTTTACACATTCTCTCTATAGCTGAGATGCTAAGCTTGATCCTTAGCTGCTGATTGACACATACTGTGGAATAACAGGAAATCATCTTAATGGTAGGCCTTCTGCTATAGTATATCTTCCCAGATAAAATGAGGGAAACAGTTTACCTGTGAACTTCTTACCTACTGGCCATACCTGTAGCCATAGTACTTTTAGTTACAAGGGACACACGTGGCCTGAGGAAGTGGATTGTGACATGGCCACGGGCCATAGTTTTCCCTTTGGTCATTCTTTTCACGTTACCAAGTTTCTTTTTTCTTTTTCTTTTTTTTTTTTGACAATGAGAAGCAGTTTTTATTAAGAGGGATAGTTAACAACTGGAGAAAAAAGGTCAAACCCCAAATCCAGGTATGCAAGAAATTGTTTATAGACTGGCTGCTGGTGAAATACCTAGGCATCAGGAGCACTTCATATTAGTCAGGAGGCTGAATTTCCTTTCCTGCTTCCCTGGTGAGGTACAAAGCTTGGCTAAGTGCCAAGTGCCAGAGCAGGACCTGAGAAAGCCGCCTAAGCTATGAAGCATTCAAGGGCTGGGGCAGTGGCACTCCTGTTATCCCAGAACTTTGGGAGACTGAGGCAGGACTGCTGGAGCCCAGAAGTTCAAAGAGAGAAGCCTGGGCAACACAGGGAGGCCCTGTGCCTACAAAGAATAAGATTAGCTGGGTGTAGTGGTGCACAACTATAGTCACAACTATGGGGGTCCAAGATGGGAGGATCACCTGAGGTTACCAAGTCTCTTTTTTTTATTATAAAGATGTGGGGTACAATTCAGGGTTAGGTATATAAACGTTGATTATGCAGGTACCTTTTTACCAAGTTTCTTGTAGGTCTGACCTGATACTCTGCTGACTCTGAGCCTTTAGTGAATGCCTTGACTATTTTGTCTCTGATCACTTTTAGGTAGAGGCATGAGGTGGGTCAAGTGGAGTGAGAGTCCTCATGAGGGACTGTACCACCATGTGAAAGAAAATTTGGTGTCTGTTTATAAATATGAGCTTCAGAAAGTGGAATACTAGGCTGGGCATGGTGGCTAATGCCTATAATCCCAGCACTTTGGGAGGCCGAGGTGAGAAGATTGCCTGAGCCTGTGGGTTCGAGACCAGCCTGGGCAACTTGGTGAGACCTCATCTCTACAGTAACATCAAGAAAAATTAGCTGGACATTGTGGCATGTGCCTGTAGTTCCAGCTACTTAGAAGACTGAGGTGGAAGGAATGCCTGAGCCTAGCAGGTTGAGGCTGCAGGGGCTGTGAGCATGCCAGTACGCTCCAGTCTGGGTGACAGAGTAAGACTCTGACTCAAAAAAAAAAAGTAAAATACTACAGAGTATTCCTGGCTGTGGGGAGTGAGCGTGGCAGCATCCTAGGGTCTGGGTTAAGGTTGAAAAACAGCTACAGATGGGGTTAGGGAAGAAAAAAAATTGCCACTCATTTGTGTTCCTTGTTATTTTCGTGACTATAGCGGCCTGAGATTATGCCAAATAAATGGTTTCAGGTTTTTCTTCATTAAGTGAAAAGATGTTCATGGAATCTTTTTACCTTTGCTTCCCTTCCAGTGTCAGCAAGTGACAACAAGAGAAGAAGAAAAGAAGTCATCCCAGACTCATTTCCTGCTCCATGTGGATGATAGCTACATCAGGGGGAAATTTCATAGTCTGTCAATCGGGGCAGAAAATGGAGGTAATTAGCAACGGGGAAGAAGTCTTCTTTCCATTTTCTGGGGTATATTACCTGTTTGTAATTTTTTAAGAAACAGGCTTTTCCTATAATCCCAGCACTTTGGGAGACTGAGGTGAGAGGATTGCCTGAGCCTACAGGTTTGAGACCAGCCTGGGCAACTTGGTGAGACCTCATCTCCATAAATCAAAAAATTAGCCGGGCATGGTGGCACGTGCCTGTAGTTCCAGCTACGTGGAAGACTGAGGCAGAAGGATCACCTAAGCCCAGCAGGTCGAGACTGCAGTGACCGTGAGTGTGCCACTGCACTCCAGCCTGGGCAACAGAGACTTTGACTCCAAAAAAAAAAAAAAGAAAGAAAGAAACAAGTTTTTATTTGTCAACTTGAAATTTGGTTGTAATTCTGGTAGGGTTGGCTTCTGAAATCTCTAATGAAATTCAGGCTCCCCATTAAATCACTGTATCGCAGCAGGACATTACATGAAACCCAAAGTCTCTCATCACTAGTTTTTAGGTCTAGAGCTTTTGTGGAATAGGAGGGAGTAAATGTTCTTAGGAAGTTGCTGGTCAGATGGCAGTTCCCTGGGTTTTTTAATTGTTGTCTTGACCTTTCCCACCTCTGCCTAACCAAGATGAGGAAAGGCAAATAAACCTGCCTCCAGTGACTTTGAGTCCTGAAAGTGGCATACACTCAGGAAGGGAGATAGATTATGGGTTAGTCCCTGGTGTGCCAAGACTTCTTTTAGATGAAAGCTTCAATCATTCTGGGCATAAATGTGGGATATAACTGAGTAAGGAGTGTGTTGGAAGTCTTTGACCCAAGTTACAATTAGAGTAGCCATGGCCAGTGCCCCCTGGCTATGACAGAAGCTAAACTTTCCCATGATCACATCAGCAATTTCCGGTTTTCAGTTTTATGGCAGAGGCTTCTTAGAAGCTTAAATCCCTGTCCCAATGACGTCAAGTTCACCAGTTGGCTTGGAAGGTTCAGACCTGTCTTCCATCAACACCATGATGTCAGCGGTAATGAGTGTAGGGAAGGTCTCCGAGAATGGCGGGAGCCCCCAGGGCATCAAGTCCCCAGCGAAGCCTCCAGGACCAAATCGGATTGGCAGAAGGAACCAGGTGAGCATTCGTATGCCTAGGCAGTGACGTCTGGTGGTTTCAATTTAGGAGGATATTGGGAGATGTTCCCCTCAGACAAAACCTTAGAAATGAAGCGTTTGAAATGAAACAGACATACCCAAGGGCCTTGATCATTTTCCTTTTCTTTTTGAGTTGGAGTCTCACGCTGTCACCCAGACTGGAGTCAGCTGCACGCTCATGGCCACCACAGCCTTGACCAGCTGGGCTCCAGCAATTCTTCCTCAACTGGAACTACGGATGCATGCCACCACGCCCAGCTAATTTTTTGATTTATTGCAGAGATGAGGTCTCGCCAAGTTGCCCAGGCTGATCTCGAACCCCTGGGCTCAGGCATTCCTCTTGCCTCTGCCTCCCAAAATGCTGGGATTACAGGCATGAGCTACTGCGCCCAGCCAGATCATTTTTCAAGGACCAATTTTTCACAGCTTATGCCAGTTTCCTTTCATGGAGAAATATTTTTTTGCTGTGGTGTCCATGTTGGTGAAAGCACTCTTATTCTTGGCCCCGCCATTTGATGTGTACGCAAGCTTTCTTCATGTGATGGCCATGGCAGAGAACGTGACTGACTCCTCCACTGTGATGTGGTTTGTTTCTTTATTCACACAGCTGGTTAAATTCAAAAGAGTCACCTCCTTGATTTTTCTTTTAAAGTGCCTTCAGATTAGGTAGCAAATAAGTACTGATCGTGCTGAGGCTGTCATTCAGCTTTCCATACTTAAAAAAGCACAGAATTTGGTTCCAGGGAATTGCACTTAAGATGCTGTTTAGGCCAGGCTCGGTGGCTCAACCTGTAATCCCGGCAATTTGGGAGGCCAAGGTGAGTAGATTGCCTGAGCCTGCAGGTTCGAGACCAGTCTGTGCAACTTGGTGAGACCTCATCTCTACAATAAATCAAAAAGTTAGCCGGGCGTGGTAGCATATGTGCCTGTAGTTCCAGCTACTTGGAAAGCTGAGGCAGAAAGATTGCGGGAGCCCAGCAGGTCAACGCTGGGGTGGCTGTGAGTGTGCCACTGCACTCCAGCCTGGGCAATGGAGTGAGACTCCAACAACAACAACAACAAAATGTTGCTGTTTAGTCCTCTTGAATTTTCACTGGGCATTGGTCAGAATTGGGAAAGAGTAGACAGGTGGGTTTGGGAAGGATTAATGCTGCTATAAAAGTTTCTGTCTTCTCTGTTGGAAAATAAGATGAATCTTTAAATTAATTTACAAAAAAATGGGGCACTTCGGACGAGTTTTTGATATTCATGGAGGCAGCAAGTTCACATAGGGTAGGTTGAAGAGGGAGACAGAATAATTCTTGTTTCATCTCTGAATCTATATAATAGGAATTGACTTCCTCATGAATTGTTTAATTTTTGATTTAACGGATTTAATGGGCCTACTACACTAAACTCTCAGGAACAGGACAGACTTCTGAGTTTACCTAGGAATCGGGGATAGATGAGAAAGCAAACGTGTTGGATTTTGTGGATTTTCTTTTTTTAATTAATATTCCTATTGTGACTGTCCTTATATAGAATTTTCTGAGTATAACTATGATGGTTTTCTATAAATTCTTAGAGGTAGAATCTTAATTAAGACTTTAGATACAACTTGTCCTCCAGGAAGAGTTGTACCAGCCCCAAACCCCACCAGCTGTGTGTGGGAGTGTGCATTTCTCCACACCTTGCTCGAGGCTGGGGACTTGGCAAAGTTCAGTGATGTTTTAAGGTTGGAGCATTGATTCCTCTCTCTCTCTTTTTTTTCTTGCCTCTCTTCCTCTGGGTGCCTGAGAAAATGCTCAGCCTGTATCACTGTGGCCTGAGTCAAGAAGGAGTACTAGCTCTGGGAAGAAAAGGTTTACTTCCACTCTCGTGTTACTGTGAATCCATCCATCTGTCCGTCCATCTCTCCATCCATCAACCCATTTGACAATATATTCCTGGCTCTTCCAGCTACTACACCAAATGCCAGGAATTTAGAGAAGAATAAGATGGACAAGGTCATCTTCCATCATCCTTCTCTCCTCTGTTAGGAACAAGCGGAGTGATAGGGAAGAGCCTTTTCCTTAAGTAGTTCAAAATTGGCTCAAGTCCAGGCCCCAGTTCAGAGATAGTAGTCAGGGCCCTGAAGGATACACAGCCACCCCCCCATCCCCCCATCCCCCCCGCCCGCCATGCCTGAGTATGAGGAAGCAGCTGTGCAGGTATAACTGGGCCATTTTCATTCTCCTCCTTTCTCCTTCAGGGACCTGGTGCACTGGCTTCGTTTTTGAAAGGGGGAGTCTGAGCCAGAGGTAGCCTGATATATTCACTTCTTAATCTAAAAAACCAAACCCCATTGGGAGAGAGTATAGGGAAGAAGGAAGCATCCTTCTTACCTGTGACTTGGACAGGGAGGGCTGAGAGAGGGAGCCTGGGGAAAGTCCCATTGGTGTGAGCTCAGAGTTCCAGGAGAGATTAGTCACAGCCGGATGCTGACAGGGGTGCCAGATTGTTTCATTATGGAATGGTTAGTTATCACATTAGCTGCTAATTTTATCTTTCAGCTCAGGAACTGTGTTCCTTCCACCAGCATGACTGTAGTATCTAGATTCAGAATTCCCCAGGAAGGCCTCTTCCAGTATCGCAGTGCTCACTTTTCTATTTGGTTTAATTTTAAAAAGTAAATCTGAGTCTGCAGACCTCCTCCCAGAGATCACCTTAGATTTGGTGGGCCTGTATAATGGTCTGCAGCGTACCTCAGAGAAGGTTTGTGTCCGTTAGTGATCAACTCCAGAATCAATACCAGACAGCTCCACCAGTTGCAGTGTGTTTGGTGTCTTGTTCAAGGTGAATGGAAGATGATTTAAAAAAAAAAAAAAAAAAAAACAACCCCCAAAAACTGTCTCAAGAGACTGGCCACTAGTAGACCTGGTTTTTAAAGATATATTTACATCCCTGGCATCTCTTAACAACAATATGCCAAAGATTGAACTGGATCCCAGCTTTGGACTGGGCTGTGAGACATCCCTCATTGTTATAGCAAATGCTTTATTTTGTTGCTGTTGCTTTTGTATTTACCTGTGGGGACCCTTAGAAAGCTTCATTCTGATTGTAGTCATAGAATTGAACTGAGAAGGTATTGACCCCATCCCATTATATCTCTGAGAGGACTGGAAGCATAATGACTAACTGCGTGAGACTGGACATTTTTTTGCCTTTAGGATGTTCAGCTTCCATAGAATTTATATTCTTACTTCTTTTTGAGAGTGAGAAAATGTGTACAACATCCAGTTCTTAGACCCAATTCCACAGATTAGAAAAAGGGTCCTATTGCTTAGAATGAGACTTGTTATTAGCCTTTGAAGAGGAACTAGAGAGAAAGTGGTTATGAACTAGACACCATGTGTTCACTCCACCCATCTGGTTTATGGCGCCATTTGTTTTTATTTTCTTCGGGGTGACTTTTATTTCCATTCATCTCCCATAAGCATCCACAAGGGTATTTCCTTTCTGTGCCTTGGAATTAATCCTTTTTTGGGTCAGACTTTATACAGCATAGTGATTTAGGGCATGGGCCGTGGAGCAGCTTGCCTGAATTTTAATACCATGTCTACTACTTAATAACTCTATTACTTGGGACAGGTTACCTGACTCGCTCTACTCCAGTTTCCTTATCCAGAAGATGGGATTCATAACAGTGGCTGTCTCTTAGTGGTTGTGAAAAAACCTACTGCTTCTGTATATAGAGTTTAACACATAGTAAGTGCTCAATAATTAGTATTATTTGCAAGAAACAGAAACTCATTCAGATGAGTGCAAGTAAAAAAGGGTTCTATGGAAAGATACCCTAGGACAAGAGATAACCCATAGCCTAGACAGAGCGACCAGCCCTAGAAACAATGCTCTCCCCCTACCCCACTCCTGGTTACCTGATCTCCTGCTTCAGTTAGCTCTGACATCTTTTGCTGCCTTCCCATGGCTTGTGTTTGCCAAGGCTCAAGCCGTGGGTCCGGCCCCAACTCCACATGAACTCTCAATTCAAGTGCTCCTGGCCACCTAACTTAGTAACTTAGTCATCCCCAAACCTGACGCATAACAGTATCTTCGGGGGAGCTTGTGAGACAGATTTCTGGGGTTAAATTTCTACCCCTTGAATGATTCTTATTTAACATGTCAAAAATCATGTCTAGAAATGTATATTTATATTTTAAAAAGTTTCTCAGGTGATTTTGCTGATCTTTCGAAAACCACTGATCTTAGTCTCTGAGCATCCCAATTCCAAGTTTTTGGGAGAGGCATCTAAGCCTTAGTCCATTTAGTTTTGGGGAAGGGGACAGGGACCTATGAGGCTTAAGGATGGGTACAACTAGCAACTCTAGGAACTATAACATAAGGTTAGGTAAGCAGGGGTTGGCCTTTTTCTTAAAAAGGTAAAATATGCTGCTTGAAAGGAGCTTGTCTTGTATGTTTTGAGAGAACATAAAATGATCCACCTTACCAGATAGTGAACTGGTTCTTTTGTTACCTCTGTGGAAGTCTTCAATTTGATTTGTCATTCCTATCAAAGTTTTGGCAGGCAGCTTTCTTAAATATATTTTCATTTGTCATTTATTTATTTTTAAGTTTCTATTTCTTTTCTGTATGTACAGTTATGGAAAATGACATTTATTCTTCAGAACATAATTCAATATATTTAAGAAAACAAACAAAAAAAATGAATCTATTTTCCCTAGACATCAGAAAAAATACTACTGGTTCAACAAATGAGTTAAATGAGTTTTTTTTTTTCCTACTAATTGGTTTTTATTTTTACATTTGTTATTTATGAACACTGTTAAGCAGATGTTGACAGTGGACAAAGGAGCCATGTTTTGTCCATTGCATGCACAGATGGGCACTGAGGGCTCCCATTGTTGGCAGGGTGAGGCTTCACTGTCTCTCATATGTTCTTGTGGGTCCCACAGCCCAATGGGAAATAGTGCCTAGAGCCTGGGTTGGACTTGGGGGAAAACTTACTCCTTTCTAGCTCTCCTATGACTCGATGCTTAATTTTTCACCATTACAGACCATTAAGTAAGTGGTACCTGTGTAATAAGAAAGCTAGTGTTTATTGAGCACTTACTATGAGCCTGCTACTATTCTAGTGCTTGGCATGTGTTAATTAATTTAACCTGCATCACAGCACAATGTGGTAGGTGGTATTGTTTTTTCCATCTTACAAATGAGGAAACTGTGGCAGGCAGGACGGCAACTTGCCCAGGCTTTTAACCTCGACAGGCTCTGGAGCCCATGCTCTTAGCCACTTAGTGCACACGTGCTTCTTCAGAAAGAAAGGTACTCGTTGACCATGATTTGAAATTTATCTTCCCTCTTAATCTCTCTTTTTAGGAAACAAAAGAGGAGAAGTCTTCCTATAACTGCCCCTTGTGTGAGAAGATTTGCACTACTCAGCACCAGCTGACCATGCACATTCGCCAGGTGAGCTGCCCTTTTCTGTTTTTGTTTTAAATTACTCTTTGTTAACAGAGGGCAGGATGATTGGATTTTAATGGATGAGTTATGGCTGTGTCTGTTTTAAAGTTAATATTTTTAAATCACTTTGGGGGGTGGGGTATTGAAATGACTTGTGTGTGTATTCTGTGACAAAGTCCCAGGTCAATCCAGAATCCCTTCTCAAAATTTACAAACATCAGCCAGGCTCGGTGGCTCAGCCTGTAATCCCGCGCCTTTGGGAGGCTGAGGTGAGTGGATTGCCTGAGCCCACGGGTTCGAGACCCGCCTGGGCAGCGAGACCTCATCTCTACAATAAATCAAAAAATCAGCCGGGCGTGGTAGCACATGCCTGTAATTCCGGCTACTTGGAAGGCTGAGGTGGAAGGATAGCCAGAGCCCAGCAGGTCGAGGCTGCGGTGGCTGGGAGCGGCCACTGCACTCCAGTCTGGGCAACAGAGTAAGACTCCAACTCAAAAAAAAAAAAAAAAAATTTGCAAACATCAAGTTAACTGGTCACCCATAAAGCATAAGACCTTTCATTGTATGTGGCTTGTCATTGTGAACCAGATCCCTTACAACACAATGAGATTGTAGGTGCAGCCCCTATTCTTTATATCAATATGAACATACGTCATGTAGCAGAGGATTTGCTTGATTTGGGATGTTTTTCACCTTTTCTCCTTATTGCAAGATGTACCCTTCTCCCTTTCTTGTTCTGGCTGATAAATGACTCGACTGTTGATGAATATAGAACAGTGAAGGATTGATCTGTTAAAATCATAACATGGGCCAGGCGTGGTAGCTCACGCCTATAATCCCAGCACTTTGGGAGGCCCAGATGAGAGGACTACCTGAGCCCACAGGTTTGAGACCAGCCTGGGCAACTTGGTGAGACCTCATCTCTACAATAAATCAAAAAATTAGCCGAGCATGGTAGCGCATGCTTGTAGTTCCAGCTACTTGGAAGACTGAGACTGAAGGATCGCCTGAGCCCAGCAGGTCAAGGCTGTGGTGGCCAGGAGCATGCCACTGCCCTCCAGCCTGAGCAACAGAGTGAGACTCTGACTCAAAAAAATAAGTTAATTAATTAATTAATTAAATAAATAAAAGCATAACATGGTTCTGAATAATAATATCAAGTTACTAAAGTAACTTGAGTTTGGCTAGAAATATTCCTTCTCACTATATTTCAGATACTAAAACTCTGTGCTCTGTGCTGGTTTCAGTTCTCTCTCTCTGACAGCAGGCCTAAGTCATCAAATTTGAAAGAGGGATGTTGACTCTTAATGTGAGAACTGAATTTCACAAATTTGCTTTGTTGTTGAGAGCCTCCTACTTATAGGAGTTAATACATATAGTCAGTTAATCTCTGTGTTTCAAAGAAAGACGAGCCTTGTAGTAAGTAGAAGTATTTTTCAAAACCGGAACATGGGAATGGAAGATCATACAAAAATTTTATTTGCCTGTGTTCCTGAAATTTTTTGCCCCTTTAGGAAGATCTTTAAAATGAAACAGGAAAAAACAGCCATGATACTTCACTGGTTTTTTATAAAGCTCTGGATTTGTATTTCCTAAGAGCCAAGTTTTTGACCCATCTTCTTAAGTGACCACTGCGATCATTGGCTTCCGCAGCACAACACGGACACTGGAGGAGCTGACCACTCGTGCAGCATCTGCGGGAAGTCGCTGAGCTCGGCCAGCTCCCTGGATCGCCACATGCTGGTGCACTCTGGCGAGAGGCCTTACAAGTGCACTGTGTGTGGCCAGTCATTTACCACCAATGGGAACATGCACAGGTGGGTGAAGACACCCTTTGCTGGGTAGCTGGCTGACACCTGGATGTTGATAGACTTGTCTAGAGGTGCAGAGTCTGAGTCCTGTTCACTGTATGGAATAACTAGAGGTGGTTTTGTTTGGCTATGCATGCTATCTCAGGGGGTGCTAGAAGTGTCTGATTGTGGGAAATAAAGGTGTCTTGGCTAGGTTTGTGTCCCTTTAGGGTTCTTCAGGATGAAAGAGTTATTCCTCCTCTGCTAATTGGAGTTTCTTTGTTTAGGTGCCAGAAGTAGGCAACTTATCACATACAGAGGAACCCCGGGGGGAAGAGAATTCATGTATCCCTGCCCTTTAAAAAATACTTGTGTGCTTACTAGATTCCCCAAAGGATTTTTTCCTTGCAAAATATTCCTGGACCCTTTTGGTAAATGGTTAAGTTGGCAGGCCCTGGACCTTCAGGATAAAATGAAGAAAAAGAAAAATGTCAGGACATTACTTCCTGAGAAAGGTGCTCTCTCAGAGGTGGGAGAGAGCTTGGTGGTAGACATACTGAAATTTTGTAGGATGAACCAATGGAAAATATACTTTATAGAGTGATTGCAGATGTTTTAAGGAGTTTATTTTTCCATATTCCTGTCCAGTCCTTAATCTGTTTTCTTTTAAAAAGTTGAGTAAAATTTGTCCATATTTGTTTCAAAGAAAACTTTATATAACTTTTTAAAAATTGATATAATAGTTATATTTGATTATATATGAATACTAAAATTAGATGGGCTGTTTATTCTACTTAAAATCATTTTATGTGCCACTGATGATATACTTGGGACATACTGGTATAGTAGTAAGTTTCTTAATTTTGGAATTGGGCACCTGAATTCAAGTCTCTGCTACTTGTAAATTTTTTGTCCTTGAGTAAGCTCTTTAACCTCTTTGTATTTCAGTTTCTTCATCTCTAAAATGATGTATTTATTTATTTATTATATATATTTTGAGTCAGAGTCTTACTCTGTTGCCCAGGCTGGAGTGCACTGGCAAGGTCATGGTTCATTGCAGCCTTGAATTCCTGGACTCAAGTGATCCTCCCACCTCAGCCTCCCGAATAGCTATGACTATAGGTGCAGTCCAACACACCCAGCTAATTTTTTAATTTTTTGTGGAGATTGCGTTTTGCTCTGTTATCCAGGCTGGTCTTGAATTCCTGCGCTCAAACATTCCTCCTGCCTCAGCCTCCCAAAGTGCTGAGATTACAGACATGAGACTCGGTGTCCGGCCTAAAACAACATTTGTAATTGTATCTACTTCACTGGACTATGATGAGGATTAGCTTAGCACACACACACAGTTCCTGGTACTGAGTAAGCACTCAATAAATATTATTTATTATTTGCATTGAAAGTAATGCTGTAATAATTAAACCCCTATGACTATCTCACTCTGAACTCCTAGAAATGAGATATGATTTCAAGAAAGGTATGAATATTTTAAGAACTTTTAAAAGTGTTTTGCTTTTCTTTTCCTCATAAATTTCAATCCTGATGGGTTATTTTCTTTGCCCCTCATCTCTTCCCAGGAGTGTTTTTGGGTGCAAAGAGGGAATTGAATAGTGTCACTTTTTTTTTTTTTTTAACACATTTTACATTTTTGCCTTTTGTTTTTTGACCATGTCAGCCTGTTGGTATCATTTTGCCCAATGTTTAGGCCTACTCCTTTCACCCTATAGCCTTCCCAAAAAGTCCTTTGTTCTTTATATACTTTTCCTTCTTAAAATCTGGTCCTAGAGGTATTACATGTTGGCTTGAGTGGCTCCCCTACTTTTTCCCACTGAGCCCCTGCTCAGTGGAACTCCCCATGGGCCAGCTCTTAGTTGGCAGGGGCAGTGGACACATTGGTGAGGAGGATCTTTTTTGTAGCATTGTGACCCTGACCACTGCCCACTTGTGGTCCTCCATGAGACATTTCTTGGTCATAGGTTCAATCACTCCTGATTTGGGAAACTTCCACTTTGAGACACTGTCTGTGATCGAATTAAGCACACCTATAAAAGTACTGTCTTCTACAGTGACACCTCTGGCAGTGCATTTTACAAATAATCATCTCTGAAGCTGTGATCCCTTGGGAGTCAGACATTGGGCTAAGCACTTTCCATTTATTTTATTTTTTTACATCTTTATTGAGGTATAATTCATATACCATACATTTCACCCATGTAAAGTGTACGATTAAGTGAATTTTAATTCCTTTTTATTGCCAAATAACAGTTCATTGTGTGGATATACCACATTTCATTTCATCAGTTGATGGACATTTGGGTTGTTTTTGCTTTTTGGTTATTAGGAATAATGCTGCTAAACATTATTGTACAACTTTTTCTGTGGACATATGTTTTTATTTTTCTTGACAGACACTTAGGAAACTCTGTATTTACAATTTGAAGAACTATCAAACTGTTTTCCAAAGTGACTGCAACATTTTATGTCCCCGCTAACAATGTCTGAGGGTTCCAATTTCTCTATGTTCTTGCCAACACTTCTTACTTCTCTTTTTTATTACAACCATCCTAGGAGGTATGAAGTGGTATCTCGTGAGTGTCATAGTTTTAGATCTTACATTTAAATTTATGATCCATTTTGAGTTAATATTTGTGTATAGTGTAAAGAAGGGATCCAAGTTCAGTCTTTTATACTATTGGTAAGACTTTTCTTTCCTCACTGAATTTCCTTGCCATCCTTGTGAAAATTCAGTTGACCATAAATGTAAAGGTTTATTTATGTATTCTCAGTTCCATCCCACCGATCTATACATCTCTCCTAAGACTAGTACCACAGTGTATTGATTACTACAGCTTTTTGGTACGTCTTGAAATCAAAAAGTATGAGTCCTTCAGCTTTTCTTTTTCAAAATTGTTTCTTTTCTGGGTTGCATTAATTTTTATATGTATATTAGGATAAGCTTGACAATTTTTGTAAAAAAAAAAAAAATGGTGGGGAATGGCAGCTGGGACAATTACAGGGATTGTGTTCAATCTCTAGATCAGTTTGAGGGTATTGCCATCGTAACAATATTAAATCTTTCAATCCTTGAACATGAAAGATTAGTCTTCCTGAATTTCTTTCTTTTTCTTTTTTTGAGTCAGAGTCTCACTCTGTCACTCAGGCTAGATGGACTGCAGTGGCATGCTCACAGCCACCACAGCCTTGACCTGCTGGGCTCAGGTGATCTTTCCTCCTCGGCCTTCCAAGTAGCTGGAACTAGAGGCGTGTGCCACCATGCCTGGCTAATTTTTTTGATTTGTTGTAGAGTTGAGGTCTTGCCAAGTTGTCCAGGCTGGTTACGAACCCCTGGGCTCAGGCAGTCCTCTTGCCTCTGCCTCCCAAAGTGCTGAAGTTACAGGTGTAAGTCACCATGCCTGGCTTCCTGAATTTCTGTCAACCATGTCTCATGGTTTTCAGAGTACAAGTTTTATATTTATTTTGTTAAGTGCATTCCTAAGTATTTTAATTTTTTGCTGCTGTTATAAGTATAATTACTTTCTGATTTCATTTTTCATTTGTTCATTCCTAGTGTTTTCATATACAGTTAAATTTTATATATTGATCTTGTTTCCTGTAATCTTGCTGATGTCACTTATTCATTCCCTAAACTATTCACTAATAGTTGAGTGGGTTCCTTAAGTTTTCCTATATCATGTCTGCATTCTTTTTTTTTTTTAACCTAATTGCCCTGACTAGGACCTCCAGTACAATGTCAAATAGAAAAGAATGGGTATACTTGTCTTATTTCTGATTTAAGTATGTTAGTTGTGTTTGTATATGCCCATTATTAGTTTGAGGAAGTTCCTTTCTATTCCAAGTTTGTTGGGTGTTTTATCATGAAAGGGCATTGGATTTTGTCAGGTGGTTTCTTGCATCTGTTTTTGCCCTCTATTCTAAATGTTAAACTACCGTATTCCTAGAATAAATCCTACTAAGTCATAGCATATAGTTATTTTCATTTATGTTGATGAATTTCTTTAGATTATATAAGAGATACTGGTCTGCAGTTTACTTATGATGTCTTTATCTGGTTTAGGTGTCAGAATAATACTCACTTCATAGAATGAGGTGGAAAGCTTGCCTTCCTCCTCTGTTTTTTGGAAACATTTATGAAGAGTTGGTATTAACTCTTTACATGTTTGGTGGAATTGACCAGTGGAACTATCTGGGCTTTTCTTTCTGGACATATTTTTTAATTACTGATTTAATTTCTTTACTTGTTATATGTCTGTTCAGATGTTCTACTTCTTCTTGAATCAAGTTTCAGTAGTGTGTATCTCTCTAGAAATTTTGCCTATTTCATCTAAGTGATATAATTGATTGGCATATAATTATTTATGATATCCCTATAATCCTTTTTATTCTGTAAGGTCATAGTGATAGCCTCTCTTTCTTATCTGGTTATAGTTCTCTTTTTTCCTTAGTCAGTCTAGCTAAACATTTGTCAGTTTTACTGGTCTTTTCAAAGAACCAACTTTTAGTTTTATTGATTTCCCTCTATTGTTTTTCTGTTCTCTTTTTCATTGATTTTCTGCTCTAAACATTATTTCCCCTCTTCCTCTTGCTTTAGATTTAGTTTGCCCTTATAAGATTGGATTATTGGTTTGGGGGCTTGTTTTTAAATATAGGCATTTATGAGAGAGGGACCCCAAAAATCTGGAATTTATTTATGAAAAATTGTGTCTTTGCATGTTTAAACTTCAGTCACCCTCAAAGCACTCTCCATCTGATACAATACACTTTTTGAGGAACTTTCTCCACTGCTCAGTTTTTGAACCTGTCAATTTTGATGCCTTTTAGTTCATCTGCCATTTTTTGTTTCACCTCTTCCACATCACCAAAATGTTTCTCTTTGAAAACTTTTTTCATCCAGGGAAACAAAAAAAAAGTCACTCAGGGTAAGATCAGGTGAATAGGGAAAGTGGGGCATGGGGATCATGCTATTCCGGGTCAAAATCTGCTGAACTTGGCATGGTATGGGCAGGTGT